AAAATCCAAATTTAGGTAAATTCAAAGAAAATTAATCTGAAAATTACAGAAATTTGGGGAAATTACCTCTTCTGCATATGTACTGTGATCCATGGTAAGCTGAAGGCATGTGAGGTTGGGAAATGGTTCAATCTGGTGGAGAGCTTCCGCCTCCGCCTTCTGCGCGAGAACGGCGCGACTGTCTCCGATGTTCATCAGATACACATCGTCTCCTTTCATTACCGTTACCAGAACACATGAACCCATCAAAGCCAGAGCCGGATTCTCATTCACCATCCCCAAATATGCCTCCTCTGTTTTCCTCAGTGCCTCTGAAAGCGCTCTCAAGACGTCGGAATGGTTAATGGTTTCCTCCGAATTCATTTCTCGATCCCATTCCCATCTCCACTTCTTCTTCTTCCCAGGGTTCCTGTTTGATTCGGGTTCTGATTTCAAATCCCCACTTTTTGAAGGACAGTTTTCTTGATCGGTGATCTGGGTATTTTCAATCTCCTCAAAATCTAAAACCCCACTTGATTCAATATCATTCTTCCATAACAATCCGTTGAGCTCCCCCTGTACGGCATTGTAAAGATTGCTGACGAGATGATCGGGTGCATCAGGGCCATTAAATCCATCGTAAATTCCAACGAAAGCCCACCCGTCTTCCTGCGAAACCACGATGTGGGTACGGTCTTCTCCCGCCTTCCCCTGCGCCCATTGCAGATTCTGACTCTTCATAAAAAAATCAGCATCGCCACCGTGATCATGATCGTCGGTGTTCAAGCATCCGGGCCTACTCAGATCGACATTTTCATTGTCTGAAACAAAACCTTTAATTTTGTTTGATATTGCTCTCTTGAAACTCTTGATTAAGGTTGAATTCTTTCTCAGAGGCTGAACGTCGGTGTCATCTAAACTACCATGAGACAAAGTTCTCTGTAACTTCTCTTCCTCCGTTGTATCTGAAAACAGGGGGCCCGATAAGAACCCACGCTCGATGGGACCTGACATGAAACCCCGCTCAATCGGGCCCGACCCCGGCACAGTACATGACCCAGAACGAGGGACCGGCTGCAGGGGAAGTGAAGCGAAGCAATCTGTGCCCTCAAAATTGGAGGCCCGTTCCAGTGTGGCACTGTGCGGGCGGGAATCTGCGAGCACACCTGATGGAATCGTTGACACATTGGCGCTGACGGAGGCGCCGGAGATGAGTCCGAACGTCATGGTTTTAGTCATTGCGGCAGTGGCAGAGATGGGTTCCAAGAGTGAGTACACTTTGGAGGAGGAGAGTGGCGCCTGCTCCGGTGGGATGTAGCAGAAGGAGTGACCCAAATCCTCATAGAGCTCATCCTCCATAATAAAATCATGCCGCCGGGAGATTTCTCCGGTGACGCCGCAACACCGACCCATTTTCCCAATTCGATTACCCATTGAAACAAACAAAAATCCAACAAATCCAAACCCGATTAGATTTTCAATCTCTCGTACTTTTTTCTCATGTAGAGAACTAAACAGGTTGTTTCTTCAAAGTACGATGTCAGAACATGCGTAAGGAAGGAAGGAGAACGAGGGGGAGTTGACTTTGTAGAGGTGCGTTTGTTCCTTTTGTTCGCCGTAGTTCTTTATATAAATAACAATTATAATATATTCATGATCATATATACATATATAATGAATGATAAATGAAACTAAAATTTGAAATTTAAATTTAAGATTAATGATGATATATAAGTTATATTATGAAAAATATTAAAAGTAAATAATATATTATTTAGTAATTATTTTTAAATTTTTATAATATCATATATATCAATTAATTTAATAATATGACATAAATTATGTCATTAATCTTAAATTTTTTCATTCTAAATTTTCATACTCCCTATCATCACTATATATATATGACTAATAATTTAAATGATTTAATGATAAGAGGTCTTGAATTTAAAAAGTACGATACATTAGTGAATTAAGTTATATTTTATGATAGGGGAGGGTTGGCTTTTATTATTTTTGGTCATATTTAGTTGTTTTAATTTAATGCTAACATAAAATTTGACATTATAATTTTACGTAGTCAATGAATAATAATTTTAAATTTATTTCATTAAAATAAAAATAGACAACAAATATTAGTATTGAGAAAAAAAAATAATTGTTATCTACTTAAATTTTATGTAAAAATTAAACTAAAAAATTAAATTTAACAAAAAAATTATTATATTATAAATTTATAATATTTAACTATATTACTCTCATAAATAAATATTAATAAAATTACAAGTTGGGTCGTGGAGAGTGTTAATTTAATAATTTAAGAGAGTTGACCGTTGAAGCGCATGGGGGCGAAGGGGTAAAAAAAACGAGGGAAATCCAAAAGTCAAAGGTATGGAGATACTTGTTTTATTATTATTATTATTTGCCATATAGTACTTGTTTTATTAAATTGTGGATTAATCGGCCTCTCTTTGTCTCTTATACACTATTTACTTAATCATATCATATATATAAGTGGGTTTATGTCTTTATGATTTGTGGCCTTTAGTGATATGCAAGGAATTTGATTCAATACAGCTAAGTTCTTTGTTTGGAATGTGCAATTAAGTACAATTTAGTCATGATTTAGAGTTTCTTTTGTCATTATCATGATTTAGAGTTAGTGGTTTAGACTTAAGAGGAAGTCTTGAAATCTTTTAAGTTTTAAGATTGAGTATTACTAGATACAAGTTGGGTGTAATTTATTGTAAATTCTTTTATGATTTTGTGATTTGATAAATTTTATTGAGTATATGGTTAATTTTAATTAATTTGTATTACAATATTTAAATATAAACGTAAAATCTAACATCAAAAAAAATATAATAAAAACATGTAATAAAAATATAGTGAATAGATATGTGAAGATCCATCAACATAAGGTTGGAGGTAGCTTTAAAAGTGTATGTATTGGTTTTCTTTGCGAGTCCTGCCTGGTTTAGTCTCAACAATATAGTTATTAGGCAAAGCTCAAAAAGGAGGACATAAACTTTCATCAAATTTAGAATTGAGGATATGAACTTTGGTTACTTTCAAATAAGGATATGTTAAAATGAATAATGTAATTGAAAGAGAAAATTGAATGAAGGAAACTTCTTTCCCCCATCTTAATTCCCCCCATCCCACTTCATTCTTTTTTTAATCAAATAAATGACTTTTTTCCTCTTTTATTTCTCTTCTTCCAAATATACTCTAAAAATTATAAATTTGTTTTTTTACCATTATATTACAAGATCAGATGCTCCTAATTACTTCCTTGAGGGGTGGAGAAGAATGTATCGCTAAAAATGTCAAGAATATGTCCATCCATCATTCTAGCAACACTGAATTTGATCTAATACTAGGAAATTTTCTGAGGACCATTAAAAAAAAAAAGGACTTTTCTTGATTGATTCTTTCCTTTTGAGGATGGATTTCTTTAGAGTTTCTATGATTGGCAAATTTCTCAAGTAAAACATCAAACTTCATGTGAAATTATTCTAACCGGGGCATCTCTATTTTCATTTGATGGGGTCGACTAGTGACCACAGTCTTTTGCTTTTAAGGTTCTTTGAGACCACCAGTAACTTATTGTTCGTATTAAGATCTTCAAGCATCAAATCCCCAGCAAAAAAAGGAAAATCCATCTACAATATTATCTTACATTAGAGACTCACAATCTAACATAATGAAACTAAAATTAACTATTTTACTTAATGGGATGAATGAGATTGAGTATCTATCAGTTCTAAAAAAGAAAATGGAATAACCAACCTTAGCTTTTATTTCCGTTTTTATCTTATAAGGTATGTCTTACTATCAGCAAGTTTGTAAACATTTTGGGCAATCCAAGTTTGTAGGCCTGTAGGTCCACAGAAGTTGGAAGGAGATAGCTTGACTTGTGAGTGGACCATAAACTGGTCTATTCTCATCTGTGATCTGGTCCCTGTTATTGCATACCTCAATTCCCCCCACTCCCCTTTTTTGTCTGTTAAAATCAAGGCTTTCAATTCAATGAACCTTTCTTCAAAAAAAGGAAAACAAAAAAAAAAAACCTTGATTTTAAACCTCTAAAATAAAAAGCATATCGTTAAATCTTAAATTCATTTAATAATATTTTTTTAATACAATGAAAATTAATTATTTGACATAGAGAAGTTTTAAATTTCAAATCTTATTTCAAAATAAAAAATTTTAAATTAATAAGTATTAATTCAACTCTGCTATTGTGAATAAATTCATTTAGTAATGATAATGTCAAGTAACTTTGTCATAAAAACCACGTGGTGTGAAATAAGTGATAATTTTTAAAAATAGGTTAATTATTTTTTAATATAAAAATTGTTGTGTAGTTAAGACTAATATCAATATGGCCTCTAATGTTAAGAACTTTTCCCAATAAAAAATTATATTTTATAATTTTATATAATTTAAACAGTAAAACAACAAACTTTTTTTATGTAACATCTTGAAGTATGTCTTATAACTTAATAATGAACACTCCTATTCCAACCCAAAATCTAAAATCAATAAACTTTTTTATTTTTGAACAAACTACAATTTTTAGAGAATAAAAAAGAGAAATGAGGTAAAAAAACTCTCGAATTTTGATCGAATGGGTAGCAAATGGATAACAAGCAGTACCACTTTCAGGCAACTTATAAGTCAGATTCACGTAAAAACCAATAATTTAATTAAAAGTATTTTTTTTTTATTTTAGTTGCACAACAAAAAATAATTATCTTTCATTTCTTATCTCATTTCATTCTCATGCCATACACTTTAAATTCAAAATATTTTATTTTCAACCAAAAAAAATCATTAAATTACTTAATTTCGTCAGCTAAATAAATACATTAAATAGGAACATATAGATGGACAGTTGGTCAGTTAGGTGGAGAACGTTAACACATTTCACGGAAATACGGAGCAATGGAGGGGAGACGAGGTTTGGCGCGTAAAGTGTCGCCAGAACCAGAAGTAGGAATCTAACAAAAAAGGGGAGTGTAATTAATAGCCAGACCAAAATTTTCATTAACACACCACCGAAAACCATGCTCAGTTTCCCCGCTGGCCTCGTCTCTCCCTTTACTTCCTCTGTTTTATCTCCACCATTAACCCCCTCCAAGGCCCTCAACCCATCAACATTACTATCTATCTCCCCGTGCCTGCGCACAAGATCCGAGACTATGTTGTTTTAGCACGCGATTCTAGTTTCCAAGGTTTTATTTTGGCTCATTTCATGTCATTCTTGGTTGTTTTGTTCAGATTATGATTAGGATTTTTTTTGGTTAATCTGTGGAGATAATTAGGGTGTTTTCATGTTGAATTTCATTTTATTTGGGATTCTTGCCTGTGTCTGGGGAATGAGGGTATAAAAGCACTTGATTTTTTTAATATATCTGATGATAATGGTACTATAATTATGCAACAGCTATAGCACTCCCCTTTTGGCAAATCCCTCCCCAACCGTCTCAACTTTGTGGGTCTTAATTTTGTATGATATGAATGAATGAAGCCAATTGATTATGGGTACAGGTTAGATGTAGCTATCATATTCCAGAATTCAGAATAATAATAGTGTTGAAGCTTCTGAGCTCTTTCATTTACTTTTCATCAATTAAACATTGAATATGATCCTCCCAATGATAAAAGCAATTTTCTTTGGCTGACCCAAAAAAAAAAAAAAATGATCAATCATTATGAATATTAGTTCTCTTTTAGATGGTTTTAGAATTCTTATGGTAGATTAGAGGTATTTTGCTCAGTTTGGATCGTGGAAAATTATTTTCTGAAAATAGTGTAGCATGACTCGGATTAATGTATCATTATTTTCAGTCAAAGAAAAACAAAAAGGGAAATGTTTGGAAAACAACCCTTCCCCTTTCCCAAGGGGGAAGTTGTTTTATGGAGTAAGGAAAAGGGTTTAGCTTTATATCTATCTCTAATTATTTGATGTTTAGGTGTAGCTATAACTTCGGGAAAAATCACCTCTTCTCCACCAATTCAACCATATAAAACAGGAAGTATGTTAATGAATTATGCTTGGATTATTGCTAAGATGTTGTGGCGCTTGATAGATCTTTTCAACTTGGAATAGGTTCAGCAAGATTGTAGCAGAAGTCAAGCCGGTTCTGAAGGTGATTTCTTTGAATTTTCTAGTTTGATCCATGGGAAAGCATCTTCGAAACAAAAGTGCAGGGATTTCCTTTCAGAATCATCATCCAGGATGCATGTGGGGCATACTTCATGTTCTTAAGTATCATAATTGGCCTTATATCAAGAAAAGAGTTCCAACCAAGAATAATGGTGGTAGGAAACATGCTGCTGGTAAGAAGATGATTCAATTAGTTTACCTGTTCATTTACATAATCTAACACACAAATTAGATTGGTAATCATATGTAACCAGTTTATCTTTTTCCATGAGGAAATGGAATGGTGACCATTTTGCATGTTGAACTCCTACTGATAATTAATAATGCTACCAATCTGACCATTTGGGAAAGCCAAATCTGTATATCATTATCACAACCATCTTATTAAGCTCTTTTGCTCTTCCAGTTTGGTGAACTATATGAGACCAGTTTAGTTAGTGTGACTGAATTTTCATTTTGTTATATAAATCTTGATCTGCAAGATATCCTACCTGGGTTGCACTTCGTGAGGCTGTTTTTTGACCCCTAAAGAATACCTGCTGTTGTCCACTTTTCACATGGTTGCTAACAAGAATTCTGGTTTGTAGGGCAAAAGGGCCCAGAAAATGACATAAACTCCTCAAGTGCTGGGGTGTCCACAGTTCCCAGCAATTCAGAGGTGACCAGTTCTAGGGTAAGTTCATGCACAAAAATGTTTGCTTTATTGTGTTTCTTAGTTTGACATATCATATTTATAAGTACTTCAATAATGGAACAATTGAAATGTTCTACATTTATTCATGATTTTGATCGGTCTCTTGCATTTGACATGCTTTCATCAGGATGCTGTCTCTTGCATGAACAAACAGAAAAATATTTATGACAGTATCTAAATTTGAATGGTTAGGTTAAGGAAAAGGCGGCACAGTCAACTTCAGGGGGTAAAAGTTCTGTCAAATCTCGACTTAAGGCACTCATTCTCGAAGAAAAATCTAGAAGGAAGGGACATCACCGAAGTTCAACCTACCCCATAAAGTCACAATTGACACGAACTGATTCAATTCATCGTGGTGAACATCCTGAACTTGGCCCTCTTGCTGATACAACTTTAAATGAGCAAAGTATAAGAATTCCTAACCAAAATAATGAGCCTTCCTTAGCTACCAGCTCTCTGGATCCTGTGTTACCACAATCCTCTGAGGAACTGGTTACCATTGATGAAAGTTGTGGAGAGTGTAGCAGAATGTTAACAGGTAATGACTTATGGCATGACCATGTTGATGATAATGCAAAGCAAGAGACTGAGTATGACCCGCTTTTTCACAAAGATCTACACGACAGAAAGCAATCTGTATTGAAGCAGAAGACGGATGGTGCAAAAAGAATAGCTAAAAGTGCTTCAGCTATTTACTCACGACACATGCTGGATTCTACAGACATATTCAATATGAACAAGGAGTTTCTATTGAAAATACTAGAAGATCCCGGTTCTCCTCTGGCTCATTACTTCCATAAACAACAGGCTGTCAGAGCCAAAATGGGATTAACGAAGTCTGAGTCATTTCCTTTACCTCGATCATCAAGAAGAAGAGGTTCTGGACCAAGCAGACAAAAGAACAATCAGGTTAGTATTCGGCCCCCTGCAAAAAGAGAGGAGTTTCAAGTTTGTCTTCAAGAAGAAAAGCCACCGAGGCCTGAGTCTGCAGAAGATATCTGCAAAAAGTCAATGCCATTAATAGCTGCTGAGCACAGGGCAGATGGAATTATGAAACTAAATCAAGCAAAGGAAAGTGCTGATCATTCTTCTCTTGGTTCAGCCCACCATTCTAAAAAGTCTAGAGAAAATCAAGCGGTCATGAAGCGCTTCAGAGATCTTAAGCAGAAGATAAAGCATGCAATTAAGGAGGGCAAAAAAGAAAGGTATAGAATAACTATGGATGCTGTCCTTCACAAAATTCCTCATAGAAAGGGGTTCTCCAAGGACTTGACCAGGGAGACTCTTGATCAAGTTAAGGATCCCTCAAGGAAGAGAGATAATTCTCGTGCACATTCTACTTGCAAGAGCGGACTGAAGCACATTCAAAGAACAACATCTCTTAATGAGTCCATGGATAGATATCTGCACTTGTTTGAATCTAGCTGCCATAGAGAAGCTGAGCAACACACCCCTGAGAAGCCAAAATTAAGAATAGAAGAGGCAGTTTTGCCTCGTAGAAGTGCCCCAAAATCTTTGGGAAGGATCCGTTCATCACCTGAACTCCATACTTACTACTATCTAAGCGAGGACTCTACTGATGCTTTTTCTTCGGATATGCCAGCGAGTACTGTTGCAGACAGCACTTTAAGCATTAGCAGTTTAAATGAAAAAAAGGTCGGAGATATTTCTACAGATCCAGAAGACCACTTTCAATCAGATACTCTTTTGAAAAGTGAATCTGAAGATGATTTGGTAGATTTTAGTGAAAAGTACATAGCTAATGAAGATCCATTAGGATCAAATTCAGAAGCAAAGGTAGAAGACATCATCCGTCTGTCAGGCAACTTGATTGTAGGGGACACTGCTACTCAAAGTGGACAGAAATTTGAGCCTGAAACAATATCTACTGCAAAACTGGAAGACTCAATTTCTGACCTTGTGCCTGAATCCAATTTTGGAGAGGATACAACCAGTCTAACGGAACTTTCCTCATCAGCAGGTATACTCCACAAATTGTTCTCTCATCTTAATGCTACATCCATTCAAACACTAATATCTGCAACTGTTCCTACAGTCCTAGACTAAAAATTTTAGTCTGATCCTTCCTTTTTTTTGGATAACATGGGATTTGATATTCTTTTCTGCCTAAATGATGCTTTGTGCTTATGTTCAGATACCTTACTAACAACTAGCAGCAATGACTCGGAGAAAGAACAAGTTTCAGAGATGGATTTAAACGGTGACATTTTGCAAGTTCAAGTGGAGGCAAAAGACAAAGCTAATTTTGATTACGTGAGAGATATACTGGAGCTATCTGGATTCAGTGGTGATGAAGCCCTTGGTTCATGGTATTCAATTGACCAGCCTGTAGATCCTTTGGTGTATGAGGAAGTAGGGGGCTGCATGCTGTGTGACCCTGACAGTTTGGTGAGCAAAGAAGGCAGTATTTGCAACCACCAACTTTTGTTTGATCTAATCAATGAGGTATTGATGGATATTTATGAGAAATCATATTGTCACTGTCCCAGGCCCCTATCTTGCCTGAGCCACATCCGTCCAATGCCTGTAAGATACCATGTTCTAGAGGAGGTCTGGGCAAATATAAGCTGGTACTTGAACTTTGAACCTGGAAATGACCAACCACTAGATTATGTTGTGAGCAGAGATCTATCAAGGAGTGATGGTTGGATGAACCTCCGGTTTGACACAGAAGGTGTGGGGCTTGAGCTGGAGGAATTGATTCTTGAGGATCTTTTGGAGGAAGTCATGTGGACTTAAAGGTTGTGGTAGATAAGGCATGCCATAAAGTTAGTGAAGAATAATAAATACTATGTGTATTAAAAATTTTGGGATTTGAAGGGAGAAAATGGAAATGGATGCTCCAAATCTGTGAGTTGGATTTTTGGATTGTCTCGTCCTTTTTATTGATGATAACTTGATAACAGAAGAGGAACCACAGCCTTTTGGTGATGTTTTTGCCATACTAAATATTAGTGAGAATAATGTTTTAAAAAGCTTATTAATTAAAGATATAAAAGTAGGTATACAATTTAAAATGACATTAACACTTTTAAATGTGATAATAAACACACTTAAAATCTTATTACTTTATAATGACATTAAAACACTACAATAGTGATAAATTGTCGCATTTTTGTGTGTTGATGATGCATGACATTATACTGGTTTTTTAGTTCTTTTTCCTGCGAGAATTATTTCAATTGCTAACCTTAACAAAATATTTTACTGTTTGTTACGAAATATTAAAGAAAATGTTATCAGTCAAAATTTTAAACAAGCAAGCCCGTCTAGCTCAGTCGGTAGAGCGCAAGGCTCTTAACCTTGTGGTCGTGGGTTCGAGCCCCACGGTGGGCGTTCAGATTTGTTAATTTTTTTTTACCTCAGCATCAAAAACCCAATTGCTTATAGGGGGAAGTGGGCAACGAAATGCTGGGATTTGTTGGCCCGTTAAAAGTTCAAAACCCAAAAAGATTATTCCAATCCCCAGCAGAGGTGCAACTTCTTCTTGGGCCTACCACGTATTCAGTGCTTGGTGGGCCCCCTTCTTTTATGAGATGAGATTAGACCACCAAAAAAAATCAGTGTGAAGTGGGCCCTCTTTTGATGTGATGAGAATCAATTAAAGCAAAGAGCGGTCTCCCCCTGAGAAGAATGCCTTTCCAACTAGAAAAATTGCAGACTTCAACTCAAGATTTCGTTCCACCAAAAAAAAAAAACTCAAGATTTTTTATAAATAAAAATATAATTGTTTAAAAAAGTTTTAATTAATAATAAAATATTTTTTTATTTAATCAAGACTATTATATCTTTAAAATTTGTGACCAAAGACATGACCTCGAAATCTTATTACCAGTTTGATATTCCGAAAATCTAAAGTCTACAGAAAAGGTAAAATCAAAAGCAGTCGCATTTGCAACTTGCATGATGAAAAGGGCATGCCGTTCGCATGTATTATTCACGGGCCAGGCGGGTTGCCTCCTTAATGTTTTTAAAAGCAACTATATATTTAAACTTTTGCATGAATTTAAGAAGAGTACTTGATAGCTCGTCCATTCTTTATAAAGGCAAAAGAAAAGGAAATGTTGTGATGTTCATGTAAAGTCTCTGGACTGGACGATCACACGCGAATGAGAACCCAACACCATACCCTTCCTTTTTACTTTGGGTTCCATCTCAATTATACGTTGGCCCTACCCCTCACTCCCGATGTTCATCCATTTTCTACTTTGATAATCGATCTGGAAATGTCTTTTTTGCGTTTTACACATGAATTTTCCACTTATGTTTTAGTTTTAATGGAATTTATAGAAACAAGAATAATCCATCGATGACTTTTTGCCGATAACGTTTGAAGTGGTAGCTCATTTTCGTTAGTACTTCTTTTCATATACGTGAATTTATACGAAATGGTAGTTCATTTTTATTAATTTTTCCTGAGGACAAGTCATGGTTCACTTAGTGGAAGAGTTTTTTCATATTTTGTTGATTAAAATTTAATTTTTTAAAGAATTAATAAGAATTAATTTTTTTTTATAAATTTTTTAATTTTATGTGTATAAATTGCCTTTAGAGTTGTTTAGTATAGCATTTTAAAATTAAAAATTAATAATTTAATTTATTTAACTCAATAAATAAGATTATTTACATTATTAATCTTTCCATTTATTAGATTAAACAATTTTTTTGATTAGATGGAGAAGAAATTAGTCCCATCACATTTTCCGTTCTCTTTTTTTTTTTTAAAAATATTTTGATATGAAACAGATTCAAAACCTATCCAAACGAGAGAAGAATGCACCTATTTAATGGTTAATGTTATTGGGTTTTAAGGCCAGGTGCCATTTTCCATTCTCTTATTTATTTTTTTGGTTTCCCGTCCGGTATCCGGGATTTCGCCCCGACTACTCAAGACTCGACCAGTTATGGCGCACCAGAATAGTGGGTGGGTCTCCCAACGAAAGCTGAACATTGAGAATTACAAAGAATGGGGGATTTTTAAGTTATTAATTAGACTTAAACTCATAATTATAATTAATTAAAATTAAATACCAAGGTTTAGCAACGACCCACTGATTTTGAAGGTGAGCCTCACATTTCCATTCTCCATTGGACAAGTAAATTCGACTAAATTTAATTTCAAGAAATTCGTTTGAAATCTTCATCTTGAATGCTGACCATACGATTCATCAAATTCATGTCACTGACCTAGATCCAACGGGCGAAAAGATGCAGGGAGAGGTACGCAGTACAACACTGGAGTGTCCATTAATTTTATCCCCTCGAAAAAGAGGACAAGTTACTTGAAGAGATAAACATAAACCGACGTAACGACGATCACAGGATACCTGTACATTATACTGTATACGTACAGTACGCTTATGCTATAAAGATAATATTTTTATATTATCTTTTATATAATTTCCATATATTATTTTTATATATCTAAAAGCGTTCGGTTACACACCTCACGTGAGGAGAAGTTATGTTACTTTTTTTTTCATTTATATGGTTGGAAGTTAAAATTTTATTTATATGAAATTGAATTACTTTCATTTAAATTAATAAGTTATTGATACAATTTTCATATATTATAAATATAGTAAATATCATACATTTTACTTAAATAAAAAAATTAATTATTTAAATAACAAATCAATTATATAAAAAAATGATAAAAAAATTATGCTAAAGTAAATTTTCCTTTTTAAACCGACGTTACGGATAAGCACGACTTTTCATCACTGACACGTGGACGGTGGAGACGACCATTCTTTTCTCCAGTACCGCTATAAATTAGGCACCTGTCCTCCTGCCTTATCTCACTCAACAGCTTCCGTCGATTGCATCAATCCTCTCCCTGATTCAGCTCTGCTATTCCATCTTCTACTGCTGAAAATGTCCTGCTGCGGAGGAAACTGTGGCTGCGGCGCAGGTTGCAAATGCGGCAGTGGTTGCGGCGGGTAAGTTGTTTTTTATTATTACATTTTTCTCCGGAGTCAGATTGCTGTAAGAAAAGTTTAAGATGATCATTATTCTTTCTCTTTAATTAAGATATATTTGGAAAATTTCTTCTGCTTTTGCTGTTGTATAAATGGCTTAGTTTTCTTTGGATCATAAACTGTCTGTCCTGTTCTTTTCCTTTTTATTTCTGTTAAGGAATCCGACTTCATTTTCCTGTAGATTTCCTGTTTTTGGATGAATCATGAGAGATCTTCATTTTAAACTTTCCTTGTATTTAATTTTGCAATTTTTTTTTTCATGTTTAGTCTTTTTCACTAGCTTAATTTTTATTAACTTGCACGATCTTGCAGCTGTAAGATGTTTCCAGATGTCACCGAGAACAATACCAGGGAGACTCTCGTTCTGGGCGTCGCTGGTACCAGCAAAGTGTACGTAACTACGTACCAGTATATATGATTGATATAATTGATAGTAGAAACCCTGTTTGAAAATTTTATAATTTTTAGTTTCTGATTCTTGTCTCGTGGGAAACATGCAGGAACTTTGAGGGATCTGAGATGGGGTTTGGAGCTGAGAATGGATGCAAGTGCGGAGCCAACTGCAGCTGTGACCCCTGCAACTGTAAGTGAGGGAGACGACACCACATTTCTCGTTGTGGGAAAATAACTAGAATCTGGTTATATATTTGCGTTTGAGTTTTAGAATAAAGCAGTCATGGTTTGTTCCTTAGTTGGTGGTGAGTGGTGACTGCAGCAGTGGTTGTTGGCTTGCTTGTTCTGCTCTGTTTATATATGTAGTGGCAGTAAGTATATATATTTGCATTATAATTTGTAAGCTTTCGGCTTGCTTATGTTAAAAGTATGCTTTTATGTAAGAAGGTGAGTCAGTATACTTTCTTCTAAATAGAAATAGGTTTGGTTGTTTGCTTTTTCTTGGTAATTTCTGTTGGCTTACTTAATGAAGAAGATGAAGATTAGAATCAGATTGCGATACTCTGAGGTTCCAATAATGGTGATTTTGGGGATGGATTGTGATGAATTTGCGAAATCCCAACAAATTTAGGTGGCCTACGAAAATGATTGATGTAATTTGGAAAAATGATGAGTCAGAATCAAAGACGTTTTGGCCATTTGATAGACTTTGTGGTCCATCAATGAGTCAAAGTGATAATTTATGCTAGGGGATAGGTTTGAAAAGACATCACAATTTATGGATTTCTCATTGTTTGGTATGGAAAAGTCAGGATTTCAAGAAGTTGAGAGAGTAGTCCTTGTCAGAGAGAGGAGCAGTACAATAATTAACGAGTATGATATTTTGTGATCTAAATTATAAAATAACAATTATTGAACAACAATTATTGAACGAGGGTTCTCCTCCAATTTCAGCGCCCTCTTAATCCAATGGCTTTTTCGATAATTGATTGTACTGCATTCAATCTAGTAACTTGCCTATTGCACTTGGAGTAAAAAAATGATACTAGTTTCTATGCTAAGAATAATTCAGGCTACATAATGTTGCATGCTCAAAAAGAGAATAAAATTTCACATACAAGGGTGTCGAAATAGTGATACGATATCAATACTATCATTCCATCTGAGGTATGGGGAAAGACTTCAGTTGGAAGTAGACAACTAGGTGTTGCAGTTTTCTGGTCTTTCAAATATCCCTTTAGCAGCTCTGCTGAACATGTTGTAAACCTGCTTAGAGGAAAGACCTAATTTCTCCAAATCATTCAACTGCAATAGAGGAACAAAGAAAATAGTATGCTTCAGACGACTATCGGAAAATTTTAGAGAAAAGTGCAGAAGAAGCTCACAATCGCTTGCTCACCGATTTTAGAGGGCTTGTTTCTCTGAGCTCCAGTATGTACTCAGCCAATTTCACTCCAATCCCCTGAGTGTGAGACTTAAAACAGTTAACAACCATTTTGAAAACAGAAAGAGTCACATTGATTCATTGAAGTTTACCTTCACACCCAGTAACTCCTCTCTGCAAGTGTAAAACCAAATGGAGAGATTTAGTTTGGATAGTTTTATTATTACTACAAAGTGAAGAAATTATAACAGAAACTGAACAAAACTGACCTGTTAGCTGTATTTAAGAATTCAATGTATTCTTGTGCAAGAGAGTTCTGCATATAAATTTTGTAAGGTTAAGAGCAACAGTAAAGAGAGTCCCAAGAGAACTTTTGCACCAAAGAATTCCACTAGGATACGGTACCTTCAAATTAGAACTCAGTGCATGAAATTTGTCAAGTGGGTTTCCAATGTTTAGCATGTTAGGAGTGGTGGGTTCATTTTGTGATGAACATAATTGATCTTTGCATAACAGTTCCCTGCTGCAGTCTGTGTTCCTATTGGAGTTGATGGGGGAGAGAACTTTCCTCAGAGGACTTTGCACTGTGCCTTTTCCTTCGTTAGCCGGAGGCGACCTAAGGCCAAAAGTCTCAAATGAGTTTTTGTTAGTTGTCTTCTCTACACCACCTTCATCTTTGAATAAAGTCCTGGAAGCCATAGATAACCCTCTGCACCCACATAGTCAACCAATTCAGCAATAAGAACTATGACACCTGCCAATCTAGGAGAAATTCAAATAGTTATTCATACCTTTCTTTAGCATTGGAAGCAGCTTCTTGGGCTGTAAGATTGACTTTTGAAGAGCTGTTATAATTGAGTTTCTTTACAGAGCTCACAGACTTGGGGGTCTTGCCTAAAATTGAAGGAAATGCTCCCATCCTCTGTGCACTCTTTATCTTGCCTTTTGATTCCAACCAAGCTTGCAGTTTCGCTTCCATGTCAACCTTGACCTTTGGAGTCTCTACCTTTTGTGTTGAAGGAATAAAATTTGAAATATGACGCGACCTTGCTGCCAAGCTAACAGTATGAACAGATTCTTGGTACTCCCCGGGATTCTGTTGATGCAAAAACAAAAATAAACAAGAGAAATATTAGAATGTCAATCAAGCTTAACATTTGTGAATCATAATTTGAGAATTGGAACCCGATCTTTACCAGACAAGCAACCATCAAAGCCCGGCTAGATCCTCCAAGAGAGTCCTGCAATATCCGGGTCAACTTGCTCTCCCGATATGGTACTCGAGGTTTGTTGTTGTTCAAAGCATATATTACATTTGACAGTGCAAACAAAGACTGGTTAATCTTGGCACTTTCTTGTAGACGAATTCCTTCATTACAGGTCCTCCTATTATCCTCATTACCTGAGTAACCAATAAATGCAAATTAGTAATCTGATATACTCAATAAACATAATAACATTTGCAAAACAGTTTAGAAAACAACCTGCCAAGTCTATAAGGTTGAGCTTCCCAGTCAATACTGCTCCAGAACCATCACTGCAAGTACTGGAAACAGAAATTACAAGGACTCCATGGCTCCGGCTGGAAACGTCATTGAGACCTGTGTGCGCAACCTTTCTTCTCTGAACTCCACAAGAAAAGACTTCATGGAACTCAGAAATGGAATGAATTGGGACTCGAGATAGACCCTTGAGATGAATTTGCCCATCTTTATCATCCCAAATGGCAATTTCTTTTGTTTTTACTTCTAAGAGATCATAGCATCTATCCATATACACCTCATAGTATGAAATCTCAGCTACACTCCCAGTGCTCTGGCACATTTCCAAAACTTTGGACATGGCTAGCCGCATTAGACCAGGTAGCTCATCAGTACCCTGTTAATATTATCAAACATGTTCCCCTTATTTCTTTCTTCATAATTAAAGGAGCATCATGAAAAACGAAAACTCGAGTTCTGTTTCCAAATTTCCATACCTGCATAGTGTATGTTTTTCCACTTCCAGTGGCCCCATATGCAAAAACAGTGGCGTTGCAACCATGAAAGATCCCTGGAATTAAGGGATTCACTTCCTTGTAGAAGATCCGGCTCACGTTATCATCTTCTTGCCCAAAGAACGAGTCTAATTGATAACACTCGTTTCGGCTAGGCACACAAAAGCAAGAAACAACCCATGTCCAACACAATGAAAAACTGAATTCCAAACCAAAATTCAGAACAAAAGCAGCAAGATCAACTAACCTGGTATCTGGGTCTTTAAGATGGACAGCCACTTCATCGCGAGCCTCAATGTCTTGGTCAAGAACCGAGATGCAAGATTTTGGGCAGCCGTTCTTCACTACAATTTCTTGAGCGAGAAAAGGACGAACCCTAACAATTACTCTGACCTTAGAGACAGAATTGGAGATGGTTTGCTTTGCAGGAGTTTGAAGCTTAGGGTTTTGGGCTTCCATCAGAACGAAATTGCAGCAGGGTTGAGGGAGGAGAGACAACAATTTGAGGCGAAAGACAGGGGGAGACAAAAAACTGAAAATCGTTATTTGGATGAGGATTTGGATTTTAAAAGATTCGACCGTTGAGGATTACCATAACAAGACGTCAGTCTTTTAAAGAATTGTTGGGCCTTTTCGATTTGAATTGGACTTGCCCGTTGGTTCTTGTGGGCCCCATTCTTTCTGTGATAAGATAGTAAAAATCTTGACTTCTTTTGGCTGGGGAAAGTTAAAAAAAAAAATAAAAAATTCTTAATTGACCACACAAGTGGATATTAAAGACAAAAAAATCTTTATCCTATACTTCATATACTGTATTAGATTTTAAAATATAAATGGTTAGATGGGAGAGGGGTTTTTGGGAGTCCCAACAATTTTTATTGTATAATTTAATATAATTTAAATTAAATTATACAATAATTTTTCATAAAAAAATTATATGGTTAAAGAAAGCTTTCATTTAATGGTAAATTCATAAAAATGGAATGTGGGGTACACCATACTTAGAATTCAAGTTGAAATTTAAATTTTACTAACCAAATTGTATAGTGCATGTTCCTTATTTGGTATTTGTTTAGAAAAGAAAAATGTATGTTTGTCAATTCATATCATCTCTCTAATTATACAAAAAAATAGGGCTCAATTGAAAGGCAAATGAATAGCTAAATGAAAAGAAATTTTTTAGAGAGTAGAAGTAATTAAATGAAAGATTTGACTAATTTATATTTTAAAGATGCAATAAATATATATTTTTGTAATATATTTGTATTAAAAAAATAAAAATTAACTTTTAATTTATCATTTTTTTAACTAAATTTATTAACTTAACACTAATACTAAAATTAATGTCAATTTTTACTTTTTTTTTATATATATTTATGACAAAAAAATACCCTTAATTTATACCGAGCACAAATTAAAAAAACTCTTAAATAAAAAGGATTTTAGACTATGAAATAAATTAAAAGGACACATGAACTTTCCCATCAAGTGAAGTTAATGGTGGCAGGATGTTTGTTAAATGGAAAATGATGTGTGCACACCCGGGTCAACACCTGATCCACTTTTTTTTTTTTCAATGGGGAGTGTGCACACCCGGTGTTGGATCCGGGTATGCACCAATCAGGGTCCTTGTTAAATATTTAGCCTCTAGGTGTTAACTTGGTGTACTAAATCCACATCAAACTGGCTTGTCTTCATTTCGCAGTCTAGATTATACTTATTGTAAAATACAAACAATGAAATTGAAAGAATTTGCTCCTATATTATGGTGGGGCACCACTATATATTAAAAAATAATCATTTTTTCTTTTGTATTTAACTTAATGTTTGAATTTTAAACCTCTAACCTAAGACATTAAGTTCTTAATTGAGCTATTAGTTGAGATAACAAACTCGTTATTATCTATGTAAAAAGTGGAAAGTTAAGAAGATCACATTATCTCTGGCAAAATTTTATTGGAGGTGCGTATTACATAAGGGATATTTCCAAACATATGTTCTTTAAACATACACTTTTTCATTTGGGTGCATACATACAGCAAAACTGTAAATCTACACATGAAATTTCTCACGATTTTAATTTATTAACTTATTTTGTTGTATTCTTTGTTAAATAATAGTAATTAAGTTCAATTAGTTGAGGTAAGTAAGGCACAGTTCATAGCATCAGGAAATTTCCCATTTTCTACCTTCTATAAAAGAGTCCAGATAAAATCTTATCTTTGGATGAAATTCTTCAATATGAATTCCTACCATGAATCCTACATATAAATGCAAGCTTAAAGGCCACCCACCCCACCCCTGGCGTTTTCTTTATATATAACATTCACCTTATAAGGAATATGGAACAATAGAAATTTCACACATAAACAGAAGATAATTGAGTGAGTCTTATACTAGTATGATTATAGTTAC